CAGCAGTAGACAGAGGGGACAACCGGAGCCCCTCATTCACCTGTTGTGACGCTGCCCCTGCTCATGCTGCCTGGCTCAACCTTTCCTCCCCGTTGTGTGCTCACTCACCTCAGATGGAGGGAAAACACCATGCTTTGCCAACATCATCTTATCCAGCCTTGAGCACAAGGGCACCTGCTAGGTACGTACTATTAGCCATGCTTCACAGGTGAAGACACTCAGGTGCAGAGAGACGATCCAACTTGCTAAAAATCTTAGTAGGTGACAGCCAGCATTTGACACAAGGAGAAGAGTCAGAAGAGACATAGGCTGAGGAGAGATCAAGGGGCAGAGAAGCACATGGCCTGAGACAGTCACCCAGAGGCAGGGTGTGAGGTTAAGAGGGGTGGAGACACATGCCGGGTGCAAACCTGCTGAAACCAGGACCAGGGAGAGGAGACAGGGAGACAGAGAAGGCTGTGGAACAGACAAGAGGCCAGGTAGAAAAGTACTGACTCCATTCTCCTACCCAGATTCTGGGGTGGGCAAATCTGGGAGTTCTAGGCCATGTAGAGGGAGGCAAGAGGTCACCTGCCAGCGATGAGGGGTCTGCTATGCCCTTCACACTCCACCCTACCTAACATGAGTGGTCTGCTATGCCCTTCACACTCCACCCTACCTAATGGGCTGCTAGTGGAATTCTCTGAGATGCCAGCCTCGCTGAGGGCACCAACTCTGTCACATGTCTGCTCCGAGGACCTGGGACATCCCACAGCCAACAGCAAGTCACCATCCTGACTGAACTCACACTGCAGGGATGAGGGGTCTGCTATGCCCTTCACACTCCACCCTACCTAATGGGCTGCTAGTGGAATTCTCTGAGATGCCAGCCTCGCTGAGGGCACCAACTCTGTCACAAGTCTGCTCCAAGGACCTGGGACATCCCACAGCCAACAGCAAGTCACCATCCTGACTGAACTCACACTGCAGGAGCAGAAAAGGATGCCCTACCTCAGGGACCAGATGTCCTGAGAAACCCTGCTCACACTTCACAGAAGCCTTGTTCCCTGTTCCCAGGATCCACAGGCTGTTTGCTCAGAGCACAGTTCCTGGAGGCCCCTCTCGTGCATCCAGAAGGACAAGTGGGCTTTGTCAAGTGGCTCCACGGAGCAGGGAGAAGACCAGGATGAGACAAAGGCTTTGTGGCCTAGAATTCTGAAATTCCTGGTTCTTTTTTCAGGCCCTTGTCTGTGTCATACTTCCCTGTCACAGCTCTTCCCTTGGCTTTTTACTTATTGCCCCTCGTCACCCTTTAGCTCCTCAGAGGCCTTCTCTGATCTCTCTGGCCAGGCGAGACCTTCCCCGCCCCCATTACGGGCTCCCAAAGCCCCCACGTACTCTTTCATATATAGCCCTTAGCACAGCTACAAATGTCAGTTTTTGGATGACTAGCTGATGAACGTGTGTTTCTCCCACCAGACCCTAAGCTCCACCAGGGTGGGATGGTTTATTTTTTTCCTCACCATTGTATCCCAGCATCTAGTACAGTGTGTCCATAGAATGTTCTTGAATGAGTTAATTCCTTTCATGCCTTCACAGCGAGCCCCTTCCTGTTCTCAGAGGGCTTAGGGTCTAAAAGGCTCAGATATCACATGTTATCTCTAATCTCACCCCAACCTAGATGCGTTGTTGTTATTACCACTTTACAGATGGGGAAATGAGCTTCAGAGAGTCGCTAGCCCAAGTACACAGCAAGCAAGTGGCTTTGAACTCAGATATGTCTGGTTCCAGAGTCCAGCTCTACCCACTACATCACCCTACTTTCCTGCCCAAGGATCCTCTGGATCTTCCCTGGCAAACCTTCCCCTGCCCCTCAAACTGCCTAAACTCAGGATTGATAGACAGAATTCATTCATTCAATCCATCACTCATCATTCAACCAATCAACCGACTCATTTATTAGTGTACCAGGCCCTGCATGGGGTGCCAGGGAACCACAGACAGCCCAGAGCTCAAGGAGCCCTTAAAGAGTCTCCACCCTCGGCTGCCCTCTCCCTGGCTGTGTTATACCAGGCCAGCGGCATCATATATGCTCTTCCACTGACACCTGCTCTTGGGACTTTTTCAGCAGAAGCCGAGCCCCAGGCAGCTGCCCTGTCCTCAGTCTCCCTCTCGATCGGGAAGGACTAAGTGTCAGCCCCCATCTTTTCCCCTCCCCCAAGGACAGCAGCCTAAGATACATGGGCTGAATGATGTGTAGGACCACAGACCTTCGGTCTCCATCATTCTCTGAAGAGGAGGAACAGGATTTTGCCACCTCCACCCATGCAAACCTTTGACTATCCCTACTCCAGGCAACTCTGGAAAAAGTTCTGGACTTGGAGTCATAAGACTGGGATTCTAGCTCTGGGTCTAGTGCTAGCTGCTGGACCTTAGGAGAACAAGTCACCCTGCCTCTCTCTGAGCCACATCTTCCTCATTTTCTCTGTGAAACATGAGTGAAGCTGATGCCTCCCATGCCTAGCCCACAGGGTTGTAGGTGAGGATTAAAATCACAGCCAGAGATTCAGTTAGCACATGGACGGTAACTAAGTGCTAAGACCGCAGGGAAACGTCTTAGTAACACGGGGACCTGCAGTGTTTGCATACATCTGACAAAGCGATTGTGGGAAGACTGGTTGGGAAAACACCTGGCAGGCTGAGCCCAGAGCCTCCCAGTGTGGACCCTCAGAGGTGGGAGGCCCTTCTCTTGCTTAATGGTGGTGGGGAAGCTGTGCTCATCAGCCCACCTGCCAGAAGGCCCTAGGGAAAAGGCTAGAAATGGGACCAAACACATGATGCTCAGCTTTTCCCAGATTTGAGCACCTGGAGACAGTATGTGCCAGGAACCTGGAACTTTCAGAATCGGAGCTATTCTCAGGCCCACCTCGAGACAAGCACCTCCCTCACGCTCCCTTCATCAGTTGGCACTGGATTCTGCAGGATCTGGAAAATTTCTCCTCCTCCTCATACAAACAGCTTTCATTTATTGGATCCAGGCACCAGGCCAGCTGCATTAGATATGCTCTTTCTCTGACACCTCACAGCAACACTGTTGAAGAGGGTTTCTTTTTTTTTTTTCCTTTTTGTGTTTTTTACTGACCGGTAACGGGATCACAACCCTCGGTGTCGCGCCCGTACCGGGTACCAGCAACGGGATCGCAACCCTCGGTGTTGCGCCCGCACCACGCTCAGCCAGTGAGTGGGAACCAGTCTCCACATGGGATCCGAACCCTCGGCGGGAGCACCGCCGCGCTCCCAAGCAGCGCACTCTCCAGTGCGCCACCGGGCCGGCCCAAAGAGGGTTTCTAATATTACCCCCTTCTATAGATGAAGAAACTGAGGCTCAAAGAAGCTAAGTGATTCACCCAAGTCACAGCCAGTTCGTGGCAGAGTGGGGATTAATATACAGGTTGGGCCGACTCTAAGCCTGCAATGTGGGGAGAATCACTAACAAGAACACAAAGCAAAGATCAATCTTGCCTGTGCTTAGGGGAATTTTCCCACTATAGCTGGTGATGAGTCATTGAAAGGGCAGGAAATTCTTGCACCTTCCACTCTTTCTGGGGGAGCAAAGGATCCCCCAGAGATCACCAATGCCAAAGCCACTTGACACGTACACACCCCATCTAATGGTCCAACATACCACATTCTGCCCTGCAGAGACCCCATACTCTGGAATTCATACTTTCCAATCAAGGAGAGCAGGTCTCTATTCTTCAGACAAGGAAACTAAGGCAGACAAAGGTGGGACAGGGGGAACGGTGCCTGGGCATCAGTGACTGAGCTGAGACCCCAGTTCACATCTCCAGCCTCTGAGTCCATGATCTGCCCTCTGCCCTGCCTGGTGGCACCATGGCCCAGAGAGGTTTAGGGCTTTGTCCTCAGTCAAGCAACATGAAGGACCCATTTCCAACTAGCAGTGAATACCAGGGCATCTTTGTTGTTTTAAGGATGGGAGTTTCCTCTTAACCCTTTTAGCTCATGTCTGAGCTGGTGGGGCTGTGTCAGTGGGGCTACTTCTGGGGCAAGCTGATGATGTTTTAGACTCTCTGAGAAGGTCCCAGCACTACCCATAGATACCAGGAAGAGAACCCACTTTCAGGGTGAAAGCGCAAACTCTATTCCAGCCCAAATGACCACTGCTGCCTTTGGCAGGAAAAGACTGTTAGAGGAAGGAAAGAAGGAAATGGGAGAGGGCATCTGTGAGGTGGATGAGGCCTCTCTGGATTATATCCAGAGTTCCTGACCAGACGGCCACTGGGGGAGGGAGCAGAGAACCGGTTGGCTGGCCCACAGTCGTCACCCACTGTATCCAGGAACCATGGGCTCTCCATTGGCAAATGCACACACAGCTGCACACACATAAGTGCCCAAAGCCACTCTGGGTGCTCCCCTTCCCCTAGGGTTTCAGGGGTTTGGCAAAAAACAACAGTCACATTGTCACATTCTCATACAGAGAGAATCACAAATTGACAGTCTGAGACAAACACACACCAACACCTGGTGAGTGCCCCCACAGCATGGTGCAGACACAACAACATTCTTCTGTCCCCCACCCAGTACCTAGTGCCCACACACAGCTGTCTCCCCCAAAACCAGTGGCACCGTAGAGCATCTCTGCCCACCTCTAGGAGGATTCAGGGGTCCAAACATACACTTGTACTGTTACAAGCAATCACCCACTCACAAACTGTGACAGGCACATAAATTGTTGCCAAACTGTCCCACAACCCCGATGCAGAAGCAAGGGAATGCCAACAGATGATCAAATATTATTTAGATAAGCAAGCAAGCGCGCACACACACACAGACACACACGGAGATACACATTCCCGCGTCCATCTGTCAATGGAAGTGGCCTCCCCGCTGGGCACCGGGCGTCCCCTGGGGGAACTACGGAGGCCTCGGGAGTCTGGGGTCCTGTGTTAGGGTCCCAAGACTCACACCGGATGGTCCCCACCCTCACCCCGGGGACTCACCGGACGATGCCGAACATGACAAGCATGTTGCCCAGCAGCCCCACGGCGCACACGGCTGAGTAGAGCGCAGTGATGGCGATAGCCAGGGCGAGGGACGAGGCGCTCTGTGCGCCCGGCTGCCCCGACGCATTGGCGCCCGCGCTGGGGGAGGCGCTGGGGTAGGCGTCCGAGGCGTTGGCGAGGAGCGGGGGCTGCAGCTCGGCGCCGGCGGAGGGGGATGGCTCCATCTCCATGGCTGCCACGCGGCAGGTGCCGCGTCCCTCTCCACAGTGCGCCCTGGGCGCAGCGATCTGGCGCGAGGGGCGCGCGAAGGCAGGAGGCCGCGGCCGCCGCCGCCTGGATTTCTCCGAGTCTCCACCGCCTTCCTCTCCGCCCTCACTGGCCCTGCCCCCGGCGCCCGCCCGCTCCCCTCGCCCCGTGCGCTGTGAGCCAGGAGCCGCTGCGGGATCCTCGGACTCGCCCGCCGCGCGCACCACGTGGCCCGGAGGCGGCCGCCAGCGTGAGCCCTCGACCGGGGGCGGGCGCTGCACCGCTGGCTTGGAGCCGGACCGGGAGGACTCTCGCCCCTTTTCGGGGGATGCTTCACTGGCTCGAGTGCGCCCCCGCTCCAGTCCGGACTCACCTCCCCACCCCCCGGCCACTTCGGAGTCAGAGGCACCTGGATGTGCATCCCGTCTCCAGCCCTGCACTGAGCAGAGTGACCTTGGGCAAGTCACTTAACCGCTCTCAACTTCATTCTTCATGTCTGTAAGATGAGGAAAATCGCATCACCTCTCAGAGGGTTGTTGGGGAGATTAAATAAGCTGATGCAAGTAAAGGATTTAGCTCAGTGCCAGGCACACAGTAAGCGCTCTGTAAATAACCATAGTTATCCGTGCTTTTCTTGCACCCTATTCATTCGCTCAACAAATGTTTTTGGGGCGCCTAATATAAGAACCTGGTACTTACTGGGCAGCTGCTGATGCACAAAACCAGATGCAGTAGCTGCTTCCTGGGGTTTTACAGTCCAGTGGGGAGAGAGACAACAATCCTAAGATCACACTAATGAAGATACAGTTACAAATTGAGGAAAATGAAAGCAAGGAAGGCATTCCTGTGGCAGGGTCAGGACAGCTTCCCTGAGGAAATGACACTTAAGGTGAGGTGTGAAGTTTGGGGAGGAACTAACTCAAGGAAGGAACAAGGAAAGAGCCTTCCAGACACAGGAACTACATGTGCAAAGGCCCTATGGTCGGAGGGACTGAAAGGAGGCCAGGGAGAGGAGAAGACAGGGAGGAGGGGGTAGGGAATGGGATGAGGTGGTGGGCAGGACCTCCAGGAAACCTAAGTATCACTCTGGCTGCTGTAGGAGCAGACAGAGGAGGGTCACTTGGCTAATTCATCCTTCCCACACACACCCCTGAACTGACCAACCCAGACACACAGTCATCCTCCTCCTTGGAGCGCCCATCGTTCCCAGAACATTCCCTCTACCAAGCATTACTCTGCTCCAGGCATTATAATAAGCACTTTTCCATGCATCAACACTTTGGTTTTTTTGTTTGTTCGTTTGTTTTTAATTTTTATTGAATCATAATTGATTATACATATTTTGGGGGTTCAACGTTGACATATGTTGATCAAATCAATATTACTAGCATATATATTATAACAAATAGTACTTATTTTTTATGCCCCTTGTCCAATCTCTCCCCATCTCCCTCTCCCTCCCCCTCCCCCCTCTAGTTACCCTAGATTTCTTCTCTCCTTCTGAAAGAATAGTGGTTACTCTGTTGATTTGTTGCCTAGATTATCTGTCCAATGCAGAGAGGTGTGATCAGGTCCCCCAATATTATCATACAGCAGATGCTTCTTCTGTCACTCTGGAACGGGCTTTGTGGAGAGAGACATCCTCTTCTTTTCTTTGGTCTTTGCTGGTGACTCTCCTTGTGTCAATGCACTGCAGTGGCTGGCGGACCATCTGTGTGGTTGTTGTGGCATCTAGTTGCTTTTGTGGCAGCCATGGTTATTGTGGGGGCTGTGGTGGGCCACCCACATGGAGGTGATGTTTTTGGCATGCTACTTGGTGCTGGTGGTGTGCCTGGTTGTGGGTGTGGGGTCTGGTCCGCAGCTCCATGCCTCATGTTCCCTGGTGGGCCCTGAGGCACTGGTGGTGTGCCTGGT